AAGGTCAACTTCAATCTTGTAGGGCATTATTGGACGCAGGGTCCCAACTCAATTTAATTTCTAAAAAATTGTGCCAAAAGTTGGATCTGCCCATTTCGAACGTTAATTTCACTATGGCAGGAATAGGTAACAATCCATCTCAAATTAAACAATCCGTCAATATAAAACTAAAATCATGCATCAATTCATTTACTAGACAGTTAACTTGTTTTGTATTAGAAAGGCTAACCGATTGTTTACCATCCAGTTCATTTACCAAAACCCAATTCAACATCCCAAATAACATCAATTTAGCAGATCCCAACTTTAACGAATCCCGAGAAATAGATTTATTAATAGGTGCGGAATTATTTTGGGATTTATTGTGTATAGGTAGGATTAAGTTAGGTTCAAATTTAAATCTCCAAAAGACACATTTTGGATGGATCATAGGAGGTTCAATAGTTAATAATCAAATTCAAAATAGACAGTGCAATTTTGTTCATCTGGAAAATCAATTATCAAGATTTTTGGAAATCGAAAACATAACTGATCAAACAAGTAATAACTATACCAACGAGGAGAATGCTTGCGAAACACATTTTAAATTTAATTACCAAAGAAACGAAACAGGATGTTTTGTAATACGCCTTCCACTAAAGCCCGAAATACGAGTTTGCAATGTAGTTACCTTCAAACCAACACCATGGTCAACTTTGTTGTTAAAATATTCGTCCTATACCAAATTATTAAGGGTAACGGCACTCATTCGTCGATTTCTTAATAATTGTAGAAATTCAAACAATAAACAAATATCAAGTTTAACGATAGCAGAAGCAAATAATATAACAGTTAAAACCGTGCAAGGAGAAGTTTTTTATCCAAAATTCAGGCAATTAAATTCAATTCAGTCGTTACATAAGTCAAGTCCAACACTATTACTCAATCCCTTTTTTGACTTACACGGAATTTTACGAGTAGGTGGTAGATTGGGTAACGCAAATGTGGCATATAATCAAAAACACTCTTATATCGTGCCTAAACATTATATTACCAAGCTAACAATATCCCAATATCACAACAAATATTTTCAAATGCAGGCAAAACCGAATGCAGTACATCAGCTTATGACTGATTTGCCTGCAATTAGACTTCAACAATTCAAACTTTTTGTTAATACCAGTGTTGATTATGCCAGTCATATCTTAATGAAGGAAGGTTGCGGACGTGGCAAAAGATTCATTAAGGTGTATATAAGACTTTTTATTTGGTTATCAACAATGGCCATACATATCCAATTGATTACGGACCTGATCTCAGAGGCATTTTCAGCAGCACTCAAAAGATTTATTACTAGACAGGGTAGGATCACCAATATTTATTCTGACAAAGGCACCAATTTTGTTGGTGCTAATCGAGAACTTAAACAATTGTATCAATTATTTCACGATAATAAATTTAAAAATCAGTTATGCGATGCTCTCTCTCACGAATCAATAACGTGGCACTTTATACCACCAAAATCCCCGCACTTTGGAGGAATTTGGGAGGCTGGAATAAGGTCTATCAAATATCATTTCAAACGCATTGTTGGAAACATGACAATGACATACGAAGAATTGTACACCATTTTAACTCAAATTGAAGCAATCCTAAATTCCCGTCCTCTCCTACCTATTCCTGATTCACCAAATGACCCGGAAGCCCTCACACCCGGACACTTCCTAATCGGCATGCCACTTACTGCGATCCCGGAACCGGATCTTACCGAGCTAAATCCAAATCGACTCTCCCGATGGCAGCATATTCAACAACTCAGTCAACATTTCTGGAAACGCTGGAAACGCGAATACTTGACGTCGTTACAACAAAGGCCAAAATGGAAGTCTATCAAAACCAATATTCCCATAGGAACAGTGGTTATTCTCAAGGAGGACAACCTTCCACCGCTCCAGTGGGCTCTTGGCCGGGTCGTAGAAATTCACCCGGGACAAGACAATCTAGTGCGCGCTGTATCTGTAAAAACGGCGACTGGAATAGTGAAACGTGCAGTGACAAAGGTGTGCCCGTTACCTAATAACAATTCTTTTTAATGATTGAAAGAGACGTAGTCCTTTCAAGGCGGGCGGCATGTTGCGGCTTCAATTAATATTTGTACATATATATTCAATTTTGTTAGTGTTTATAATTTTTGTAAATATTCAATTTTGTTCGTATTTTTAGTTAGTCAACACTTTGTATTTTATTCTAGTTGTAGTCAATTTTAATGTATTTATTTCTGTAGGTATAGATAAATATTAGTTTCTTAGAATAGGTAATGCAGCAATTTTAACGAAGAGATCGGTCCAGGTAGGTCTCACAAAACCATTCATTAATGGAAAACCCAAGTCCGTCGCTACGTCATCACTTCGGAATGTGCAGATAATACCTTAGGGGTACGTAGCGACGGCGAAGGGGTAATGTGCACGATAGGCGTTGCCTATTTTGTGCCAACGTTATTTAAACAACGACAATTCAAATTTTTAGTATTCGAAAATCAACATTCAAGCTTAAACATTCAAATCAATTCACATTCAACAACAATTCAATTATCAACCAATATTCAATATACAATAAAATAGTAAGTGTACATAGCGTATTATATTGTACAAAATAAACCAAACAAACCAAAAAAGTGATTTATTCGTCAACAAAATCCGAAAGAATATATGGGGCAGTGAGCGAATACTGCAACCACCGAACAGCTGTTGATAATAAAGGGACCTGGACACGTGATCATATTCACTTTTTTAAAAAAGGCATTTTTTTGTTACAATAAAATATACATACTTATCGTAATAAAAACAAAAATACAATGGATGTAAATTCATTCCAATGTTGTGACATTTTTAATTTTTAATAGTGGTTAATATGAAATATTAATGTGAAAATTTATTTTCAATTTTCCATCCACTAAAAACTACCAACGGTTAAAGAGGAAAAATTTTTGTTGCTGTTTCATACCCCCGCCGGGAATCGAACCCGGGACCTTTACCTTTGACTTAACACACCAATTCTGTGACCATTAAGCTACGAGAGATGATGACAACAGCAACTACGACAAACCAAGCCTACAAGGTTACAGATCCTTCGTTTTTTACTAATGTAATTACATTTACTAAATGTATGAAACACTATGACTTTTATAATTATTAATAGTGGTTAATATAAAACCTCAGGTTAATGAGGGAAGTAAAACATCGACAGATATGGTTGCTGTTGTCATCTCGCGTAGCTTAGTGCTCAGAGCATTGGTGCGTAAAGCCAAAGGTCCCGGGTTCAATTCCCGGCGGGAGTATGACAACAGCAACAAAAATTTTCTCTCATTAACCTGAGGTAGTTTGTAGTGGACGGAAAATTGAAACTGAATTTTCACATTAATATTTCATTCCAATGTTATTCGTAAGTTCACTCCTATGCTTTTGATAATTTCATTTCGATTATTTAATGCAATCATTATGCAAAATTCGAGTAGGTAAGCCCTGTCTTATATTATGATAAGGGTTAGAAAATATACCTATCAATAGCAAAAATATAAATAATAGTAAAATTAATATTAATAACAGTTTTACTTTGATCATTTACAACATGTAAGTAAATTTGTAAAAAGTGAAAAAGGAAAGAATCTTATTATAAATTCACATTTCAAAAGTATTTGTAGTAATTCATAAAACGCTTTCCAAAGACAATAGGCAGGGTTGATCTGTGTTCTGTTGGAATTGTCTACAACGCACTGACGAGACCCCATGATTTCAAAATCGCGATCTACATCTGGCGATTTCAACAGAATATACTGACCATTAAATTATCTTTTTATTTTGAATGTTTTGAAAAATTAAAAACACTATCGTATTCTAATAAAATAATTCGAAGTGGTCTGATTTTAGAAGTTTAATTTAAAAGATGTATAGGTATCTACACCTACTTATGCTTTTTGTATCTTCTTTTCTTGGCGGAAATACGGTCTGAAATTATAAAATTAGTTAGTGGAAGAGTTGTATATATACATATGTGTTTATCATAATCATCATAAGGTCGTCAGTCCTAAGACTGGTTGGACACGCACCTCTACTCTTTCCTATCCTGAGCTAATCTTCGCAATTCCTTAAAACTAGAACAACCCATATACTTAACTATTTGCGAACAGTAATCTAATGTAGGTCTACCTCAACCTCTGAGAAGGTGTCCTACTAACCTATCTCGCCTATTTCTTATTGACTACCATGGAGTCCTCTGTTGTCCTATTCTTTCTAATACCTCTTCATTTCTAACCTTCTCTATCCACGGTATCCTCATCACTAGCCTGTAACACCACAAATTTTTGAATTTCTAAATTAACCGTTTGCGAGCAGAGAAGTGACTTCTTTTTATTGAAGGCGACACGACCCTGCGCTATCCTCTGCTATATATTCCTACTACTCCTTCTGTCCTGACTTATTTGACTTCCTAGATACCTAAAATCAGTCACTTCTTCTAATTTTTCGCTCTTTTCCTACTTTTCCTTCCCTTACATACCAGTATATTTGTTCTACTTTCATTTATTTTCATTCAATACTGTTTTGTCAACACCGCTTCCATTTTATTTAAAGCTATCTCTAACTCGTCCTTGCTAGATGGTAATACTACTATATCATCTGCAAATCCAAGCATACTAATCTTTTGACCCAATTTTTATTTAGGCACCTATTGCATTTACAGTTTGACACATTTTACTTAAAGCTCAATTAGAAGCATTACAAGTTTAGAAATTGCATTTAATACGTGTTGGCGTCAGATGTCACATGTCTCGATTTTAACGACACTTGAACAAATGAGCGCTAAGCATACAGCACGTGCAACCTTCAACTCCTAATTTAAATTGCGATTAATATTGGCACGGCAAATATAGAATTTTGCCCTTGCCTTAAACATCTTTTGTTACATCTACCCCAATACGCCTAGGCAGGTACTAACAAATGGAAGTAGAAGTAACTAAGCGTAAGTATAAATAATAGAGTACCTGAATGTTAAGCACAGTAATTAATACTGCACTTGTCAAACTCAGTTACGTTAACAACATGGCCAAAAACGTAAGTAAAAGATTTTTAGTTACTTTAGAGGTGTTTGTTATTATTAAAAAACGCAAAAACTATTAAATATTGCGGGAAATTTTTTTGAGGATAAGAAGTATCTGCCTTTCTGAAATTAAGTACATATTACAACTCATAAACGTCAAGTTTTAAGTAAATCAATGCAAGTTATATCTCATGATAGTGTAACAGAGTTGATGGTGGTGAGTTGTATGAGTTTGTCCTGTAACGCTATTGCTTTGCTATGAAAAATAGCCAATGATTAATTAAATTTTGAAAGATAAGAAAGCATTGTTTTCTTCAAAGCATAGAACGTTTGTATTAAAATCGATCTTATTGGGGACTTTAACGTAAATGTTTCTTGTTTATATGCACACTAGATTTTTCGCTTCGCTAGCGTTGATGTTCTTAATATGTATCTATCAAAGATTATCAACGTCCACATAAAACTAATTTTTTTCTATCCGTCGGGAACAGTATTTTTCTGGATAAAAAGTACCCTATATCCATGTCTGTACCCCTGACAATGTGTCTACAAAATTTCATGATAATCAGTTCAGTAGTTACGGCGTGAAATCGACCACATGAAACTATTTTTTCTATCCACGTGGGAACGGTTTTTTTTCTGGATAAAAGATACCCTATGTCCTTTTCTGTACCCTTGACAATTTAATAATGATCAATTGGGTAGTTAAAGCGTGAAATTGACCACACAAAATTATTTTTTTCTATCAATCGGGAACAATATTTTTCTTGGATAAAAGGGGATTATTGCTTAAAATGGTTAGTTTTATGTACTGTACTTTCGTCCAAGATGGGTTCAAATCGGGGACTTTTGACAATAACTTTTTTCATTAACGTCGACTTGCTGTATTATGTCAATTTTGTAACAATTCTATAATCAATATATAACGTTAATGGATTTAATTAGTCAGTTTTAATAAAATATTGGCCATTTAATTAACTTTATGGGCAAGAAAAACAAATGGATTTTTTTTAAATATTCGATATATTTGGTTTTTAAATTAAATTTTTCTTTATTAACCATTTTCATTTCAATGTTTTAGTTGAGTTGCTCATTTTTTTCATAAATCTATATTAATTCGAATAAAACTATTTTTAGGTAGTTTGTAGCGTATTATGTATAAAATTTTGGATAATAATAACATTAACCTACGAATTCGTTATTTCATAAGGATTACTTAGCCACTATAGTTACCAACAATTGTAGACAATGTTTCGGAACTCAAAATAATAATACTTAGTCATAAAAAAATAGCTAACAATCAGTTCGCTAACTGATTTACAAACTCATTAATAATTCATAAAAATTGGTCAATCGCTAGCTAGTATATATATAGACACTTTTTCACAAAAATTAGTTATTTAGTGGCTATTTATAAATCATAACTTACCTTCATTTTAGATTTCAAGAAAATAATTTTCAAATCGTCATTGTTAGACAGTATTGAGCTACTAATTGGTAATTTTTTTAATGTAAAAAGATAATTACGTGTGAACTAAGAAATAGCTAAATTTTTATCTCAAGAAAAGTAGAGGTGGGATATATTTCTACTCATATTTAGGTATTAGTGCCGATCTATAAGATTCAAGCATGTTATTTTTATGCACCATTTTTTACACCACTGTTTCAGTTTTCCCATCCACATGAACTTTATTATAATGTAAGGAGATAAAAACAGATTGTCACTTAATTTTATTACAAAAAAGTCAATTTTTCCCGAGTATATGTACAAACATAAACCCAACAAGCAAAATTTAATTTACATAAAAAGCTACAGATATGCCATAAAACTAGGAGTTTTTAAAATAAAAAATAACGCTTTGTATCTGCCTGTTAACCTACTTTATGAAAAATTGTAACTTGATTTTCTTTTTTCAAAAGCATTTTAGTAAGTAGGTTTGACTGGTTCCACTACATTTAAATTTCTAATTTTTAAACATAAGAAAATCAATTACTGTGGAACTTAACTAAAGAAACACTAAAACACCTGAAATTCCACAAAACATCTAGGCGCGTTTTGACATCCGAGGTGTCATTCTCTACCTGAACGTTTTGTGGAAATTGGGACGTTTTAGTGTTTATTTATGTAATTTTTAAACTAGTTTAATCATCTGATTCCAACTTATATGCTAGTTAAAGTTTGCCATATTGAATATTTAATGACGGTATTGAGCCCATAACACCCACGTAAATAATACATATTAGTTATTAATACCTCCGTACAGTAGAAAGGAAATGGTGGAATATTTTGGTCACTGGATTTATTAAAATATGCTTGGTCTTGAAATGGTCAGCCGACGCATTTAATTTTACTGCTATCCCTAAACAAAAATTTTCAGTTTCTCTCCAGTTTCTCAGAGTGTTTCAGAGTCTTTCAGCGTCTCTGAGAGCGTCCCTCACAGTCTCTCAGTTATTGCCTAGGTGTTTTTATGGATCTCTCACAGTCTTTGTATGAGAGACTCGAACGATAGAGTTGTTACTTTAGAGATTCGAGTCTCTCATAGAGAGACTGAATGAATAAAACTGAAAAATTGAGAGACTCGAGTCTCTCGTAGAAAGACTGGGATCTCTGAAATATGTTGAACTTTATGAAAATTTTAACCATATCTATTGAGACATCACTTATTGAGAGATTCGAGTCTCTCGTTCAGAGATTCGAGTCTCTCGTTCAGAGACGCTAAACAGTTTTTTTGACAGTCTCTCGACAGTCTCTCTCAGACACACCAGAGAAACTCAATGAGAGACGGAGACTCGAATCTCGCTTTCAGAGACTCTGAGAGACTGAATATTTTTTTTGACCTTATAGGAGCCCTATTAACTGTCGTCGACACTTGATTCTGCACTTAAATCGTAGCCATTATTGGCTCCTAGCTTTGGTAAAATTTTTATGCAAAAGTAAATTAAACTTTTTGTAAGAATTGCGAAAATATAAACCAAAGCTTTTTACGTAAATGACGGGGAATCGTCCAGAATCAATGGTCGGCGACAGTTAGTGTCTTTATAATTACATATCAAAAAATGGTTATTTTTTGCGGTTTTGAATTTTTTTTGCACCGAACAGATTTTAATTTAGTCTCTCATTGTTTTCTTCTTTTAAAGCGCTACTTAATACTACATTTGGCTTCATTTTCGACTGGATTTGTAATTCTTGTAATTTTATTTTATCTTTTTCTTATGCAAAGAAACATTACCAAATCAAATGTAATTTAAACTAAATAAAATCCGAATGCATAGTAAAGTAAATTTCTTTACATTGTGTGTAATGCCCGAAAGTCTTTAAAGAATAACTTTTAAGTAAATAAAATAAGTAATAATATTTCATAGCTATTATCTTACATTTTTGTTTTTCTTTTCAGATTTTCGTACTTTGTCTCTTCGTGTACGCTTTAGTTCAATCTAAAGCAGATGCAAAGCCTGCGGCCGATCCTAAAGCGGAAGCTGCTCCAGAACCGAAAGCAAAAGCTGATCCTAGTATAATAGCCGCAGCTCCTATAGCTTATGCTGCGCCCGTTGCTTACGCTGCTCCTGTTGCTTATGCAAGTTATGCATACGCTCCAGCATACTACTCAGCTTATGCAGCACCGATAGCTTACTCATATGGCTCATTTCTAATTTAAGTTATTTACAACATAAGTATCCTAATTGTGTATTTGGTATTGTTTATGTATTACATGTTTATAATGCCCATTTAAAATTTAATAAATGCTCAATCAAATTGATTGGTTATTGAATAAAATAATTCTAACTGGTCTGTATTCTGTCGAAACTGCCAGACGCGGATCGCGATTTCGCTTTTTTTAGATCTCATCAGCGCGTCGCGGACAGCTCCGACAGAACACAAACCAACTTTTACCTGCTGTCTTAACTGCGCGTTTTTAGAAAATACCACAAATGGCACGGTAAACGCCATCTGTAGTACGATGCTACATTTTAGGATTACGTATGCTCCAACAAGGTCCATTTAAATATATGGATATCTACTTGCTGAAACGAATCCCGGCGTAGCTAACCTCAACGTGATAGGCACGTTACCATAATCGAATAAAAGAATTCGAAGTGGTCTGTATTCTGTCGAAACTGCCAGACGCGGATCGCGATTTCGCTTTTTTTAGATCTCATCAGCTCGTCACAGACAGCTCCAACAGAACACAGATCAATTTTTACCTGCTGTCTTAACAGTGCGTTTTAGAAAATGCCACAAATGACGCGGTAAACGCCATCTACTACGGGATTCGTTTCAGCAAGTAGATATCCATATATTTAAATAGACCTTGTTAGAGCATACGTAATCCTAAAATGTATTTTCTGATTGGTTAATCAATTAGTCAATTAGTATAAAAATTTTCAAGCAGGCATCAATGACGTGAAATTGGTAAATTCTGATTCACAATCTCAAATTTGTAGAAGTTGATTTAGGCTTTTGCCACTATCGTCTGAACAACTGGATTTCCGAATTCTGACCGAATCTTATTAATGAAATCCCCATGACGTATCATGGCGTTCATGGTGACGTCAAAAGTATTCGACGATGCAGGGTCTCCAGCGCTGTTGCTGAACGTGAAGTTCCTGAAGATGTCCCTTGGGATAGGAGACGAAACGTCGAATAAGAGGCACAAAATAAATAAATACATTACTTATTTTTGATTGCTGAACTCTCAGGGAAAAGCAAGGGCACACAACTTAATCTAAATCAAGCCGGAAATCTGACTATGAACAAAAAATTTTTTAAATGTGAGACAGAAAGATTATTCCATTACAGAATTCAAACAATTATTGTTGATAATGTGATAATATTCAGTAATCTTTCCTCAGTTTCGGTGAGGTAGTAACAGCATACTTTTTATTTTTAAACCTTTCGGTTAGAAGTGCAACAACTGCAGAGTACTTCTCTAAGTAAACTGGAACTGGATGGTGTGCTCGAAAAGTTAGCAGGAGGTATGCTCGTTAATGAGAAAATATGCAGGAGTAACAAGGATGTTGTTTGGATCGGACAATATTGGGATAGAGAGCGTAGAGAGTTTAGAATAGCCCCAGCTGTAGTCATGAATATAGTAAATTCTTCAAGAGTAGTGGTGACTACATGTTTGATATTGTGTTTAAAATATTTGACAAGTCTCCGAAATGTGGCCCATATGGTGCAATACATTTTCCATTGTATACCCATTCCGCACAAATAAAATCAACAACTCCTTATTCATTAGCTTCGGAATTACAAAGAATGAAAAATGTATCGTTCAAAAGTTAAAAAACGACTGCTTTAGGATTTCCAGGATTATTGTTTTTAAGTTTTACAATGCTTATGTAGTGTAGGAATAAAAACTTCACACTTATAGATACTGTTCTAGTGTTTCCTTTTTACAATTTGGATGCTTTCTTTAATGCTTATGAATACATTACATAAAGACCAAATTGTCTTTGGTTTTCATTCTTTGTCAAAAACCATTGTAGTTTTCCATAAACTTTACTGATAGTTTGTCGGTATCAATAATAATTTTTAATGTACTTATGATTTTTTGTTCATTAATTTAAAATTTCCACCTTGTTGGATCACAATTAAAAAATTCCTTTATATGTTAAGTTTCGAAAAGAACAAGTAACTTATGAAAACTAACGATCAATATAAAAAGTGTTATGAAATACAAATTATTATTAAATTATCAACATCTTTGTTTTTTTGTATTATAAAACCTTTTATTGGATAAAGATTTCCTTCCTTACTTAAAGTTTGGGTCATCAACTTCAACATTTTCGATGATACTGTAGTATCAAAGAATATTAAAGCTGCAGCCTCTTCGGTACAGTGTATAAAACTTTTTAGTATTTAGAAAATTTAGACTGTTCCTGCTGCTTTGAGCCTTTGACAATATATATAAATAAATTACGTGTCACGTAGTTTGCCCGCGATGGACTACTAAACTACTTCACCGATTTTAATCAAATTTGTACACCGTATGCAGTTTGATCCAACTTGAAAGATAGGATAGCATACATCTCAATTATGATAGTAATATTCAATAGATGGCGCTATGTAAAACTTCCAAACGTTTCATATAAGCTACAATTTTAATAGCATAACCACCACATGTTGCTGAGGCTAAAGTATAGGTTAAATTTATTTTGTAGTAAACGAAATACAGTGAATTTTACTTTTTCAATTTTTGGTGTTAGCATAGCCGGCCACGTGTTACTTAGACTGAAGTATAAATTAAATTCATATTATGGTGAATATATACAGTGAAATTATTCCTGCTTTTTAATTATTAGTGCTTCGTTGTTCAAAACTCTAATTTAGATTTGGAAAATCCATATTTTTCTCAAGGGCAACTATATGTTGCATGTTCATTTGTAGGAAAACCGTCGAACCTATTTGTCTTAGCTACGGACAGGTTAACCAAAAAATATTGGTGCTTAATTAAATTGAAATTAAAAGTATTTATAATTCAAAATAATAAATATTATTGTTAGAAGATTTTAAACTATC